CCATGTGGCCCCCATAAAGTGTATCTTTAAGCTCTGAGTTCTAGAAAATTCATGATTTGAGGTTCCTTGTAAATCCCAGGTGTTAATAATTTTTCAAGGTTGAAGGGGATAGGAAGAGATTTAGGTCAGTATCAGTTTCTTCTCCCGTGAGAATACAGTGTGTAATGACAAAAGGCAACATCATTCAAATGAGAACAAATCTGAGAAGCGACTCTGATGGTCCCAAAACCATGACTGAGGCGGGAGGTGCTGGGGTCAGGAGGTTTTGAAAGCATCCATGGGCCTGAGCTGCAAAACCTCTTGCTAGGTGGGTTTTTTCTAACACAGACCTTCCTGTGTCAGCAACCACCTATTTTTCCAAGTTGCCCATTACCAAGAGCACCCGGGTTTCTACCGAAGTCTGACTATCCAGTGCCTGCAAGAGACCCTCTCATGTGGCTCAGTGATACTCCATCTATGGCCTCTGTCTCTAACTCTTGACTTTCTGCATTCCATTACCTAGCTTTTACCTTATTTTAGATGCATTCTTTGCCTTACCTTTACCAGACAAAGCAAAAATGCAGAATAATGAAGGCTGAACAGTCCAAAAGTGCTGAGAAATGAGAAAACTTTACATAGTGGGAAAAATGAATAAGGGTAGACGATATGACCATAGAGGGAGTGCGTACATCCGGTTTTAATGGAAAGCTCTCTCTGGCCAGCTTTATTATTGCCTTAGGATAGCAACCCAGTAGTGGCTGGCTACTAATATTTTACTTTATGAATAGCAGCTCCAGAAAACTCTATTAATAAACTTTGGTTCATTTCTCTTATGTGCTAATGGGCATATTATTGCCATGCCAACAGATACAATTTTCTTGCACATGTTTGTGAAAGGAAAAAAAACCCTACCCATCATGTGAAAATATAACACATAGGGTTTGAATTGTCTGCATATTTCAGTCTGTGCTATACACACTTTAATTATTCCACATTACAGAAGGAGATAGTGGTCTATAAATGCATTATTAATGTAGAATATTTCCCTTGTGTTTATAGGCTTTGCCAGAAGCCATATTGCATTTTAAGTTTTGGGTTATTTCTGAGTCAGGAACCTCATATACATTTGGATGAAAGCCAAACTTCTAACATTTATTCTTAAACTTAGCAGAATATTTTATACATGTTATTCAGAAAGGCCTCAGCCATTTACTTACTACTTACACACATAAAGACTAAACTTTGAAGGATCATTGTCAGTTATTCTGCTGAAGGATTATTAATGATTCACATTTTCTGTCCTGATTGTGTTGGTGGAATAAAGATGTTTATTTTTTCTATAACGGAGAGCTCTCTTCTTGAAGAAAAAGTATGATGCTCAAAAATTAAAGCCCTTGGTTACCCTAGGTGTGCCATATTATCTAAAAATAAGTGTTTGCTAACCTCTTCAAGGGTTCATAGGCTCACAGAAAGGGGAGATTTTCTGCCATAATAAATTTACTCTAACATCCAAAAGTGATACATAATATAAGATCAGAAGCATCCCAATCACTGAGAATGGAACAGAAAGAGACCTTATCACCGCACCCATTCCTGTCACTTTGTAAATGTGGGGACTGTGCCCCAGAGAGATCAAATGATTTCTCTGGGACTAGTCCAGTGTCTTCAATCTGGAAATCACGACTTTTAGCTCAGGGCTCCATTTTCAGTGGACTTTTTATTTGTACTCATAAATGTTAGCACTTGTCTCCAGTTTTACTAGCTTTGTCCATGACTTATACCTGGTAACCAGGTCTTGAAAATTGTAAGGTTAGGAGAAAGGACGAGTAGAAAAAAATTAGTCTCAACATAGTTGTCTCAGTTGGTGCAATAAACTTATGCCATTAAAGCCAATAAATGGCTCATCGACTGAATCATATATCTAAGAAACAAGGGTAATATGTTATTACCAAAGATAATTTCTTTGTAAAGAATATATATAATGTTTTGCAATGTCTATTAGGAGGAGGGTAGGGGAGAACTAAATAAAGATGGACCAGAGACTACAGAGAAAGAGATGTTTTGGAATCAAGTAGTCCAAATTAAGGGTTTGAGCTTCTCTACTTGCTAGCCATGTAACCATAGAAATAATTACCTAACATTGCCTACATAGTCATGAGGATTAATGAAATTGTAAATTATAAATGTGCAGACACCTGTCACAGTCCTCGACAATATATATTCATAATATCAATATACACTCATATTCATATTATGATATGAATATAAATACTATACCAATGTAGAGTCAATATATATAATACATGTACTCAAGGCTTAATAACAGTAATTTCTCTTTCCTGTAGTGTTTACAACATAATTTAACTGCTAAGCCAACAGCTACCTGTTGGTTCAGAGGCCCCATGTTAGTCATTCCAGAGAACAAGGAAAGCATGTCAACCAGCACTGACAGCTTTGTGAATATCATGAGCTAAAATAATGTTTAATAGTAATATTTTCTGAAACTCATTACAACTGAATGCACTTATAGAGAGAGCACAGCATTCCAACTAGGGCAAGATTACAATGACAGTGATCTAGAGAAGTTAGGGCCTTGTAATGGCACTGTCAATTCAGGGTCACCCTCCAAAGTTGAGAGAGGTGGGAGGGGCACTAATGGACAACGGTGTGGTGATTGCTGGGGGAAGGGGGTTATGAGGAGACTAAATGGTAGTGGAAAAAATATAATAAAAATTATATATTTAAAAGAAAAGAATAAGCCAAGACACATTCCCATTGTGCAGCTCCCAGACCTCTTTTAGTCCATCTCCTCATTTCTGTTCTGTCACTTCTTCTTAATTAAGAAATTATCATTCCCCCTGGACATTTGCCAAGATGTACAACTGTTGTTTTGCCACCACTCTCCTTACCTTTCCATCCATCATGCATGACCTCTCCAGAGGGATCTTTTTTTTTTAAAAAAAATATTTATTTATTTATGTATCTTTAGAGGGGAAGGAGAGAGGGAGAGAAACATCAATGTATGGTTGCCTCTAGTGTGTCCCCTGCTGAGAACTGGCCTGCAGGGAACTCGCTTACAACCCAGGTATGTGCCCTGACTGGGAATTGAACCGCCATCCTCTGGTTTGCAGGCCTGTGCTCAATCCACTGAGCTACACCAGCCAGGGCCAGAGGGATCTTTTACAAACATGAACCCAATGCCCAGTGTGTTCTGCTTAACATGGCCCTCACACCTACACATTGAAGTCCAATATCATTGGCATGTTATCGAAGATGGTGTGTTAATTAGCCCATACCTATCCCAACAATATCATTTATCACATCCAGACATTTCCTACGTTCCAGTTGTGCCTGGCAGTGGGCTTTGTACCCCAATAAACTATAGGAATTCAAGTTGCTACACATCTGTAACACTATTTCCTTTTCCAGGGATACCTCATCATCAGCACCTCCCTCTATTTTAGCTTCGCCAACTTTTGATGGTCTTTCAAATACTCAGTCAAGTGTTACTTTTTCTGGCAAGTCTTCTCTCCCCTTCCTGCCATCATAAGTATATGTTCTACTTGTTTCCTCTCAGGAACACGTGGGCCTTCGCTATACAGAATTGTCACTGTTTGTTAACTAAAAGTGCTGTCTCAACTAAACCATGAGTTTCTTGATACCAGAGAAGCACCCTTGTGTCCTCCACATCTGGGACAGGCTTAGCTTTCAAAAAATAGTAGTTCACAGGTTCATTCCCAGTTAAAATTACTATTATGTGATCTACACTAGAAGATTTATGATTCTCAGTCTTTGGTCAGAATAGGTGATCACAGCAAGGAGAGTATTAACAGTGGTAGACAGTTGTGTCAGAAGGTTCTGTTGGCACAGGGAGTAGGTGGCAGACTGGAGATCCTCTCCCAACATGACATTCATTCCTTTGTGAAACAGTAAGATAGGGAAAGGTCAGTCATGAAATGTTAGTTGGAGCTGGAATGATTTTGAGGCCCTCCCCTTGCTTTGAGAAGCAGAAATAAAGAGCCACAGAGGGTTGCCAGCATGAGGCAAAGCTGGGTCCAGAACCCAGTTTTCTTGCTTTCCAATCCAGTATTCATCCATGTGCCTTTTCTACTCTAATGGAACTTTTTTTTTTCTGAAGTAAGCAAACAATGCATGCCAACTCTCTACATAATTGGTCAGGCTACAGGGATAGTGCTAACCTGGTGAGTCATGTTAGCACGGAGGGAGGTTCTTCTGCTTTGATTTGGGGCTGCAGAACACTTGACAAAAAATAGCTTAGGGGCTGCACGAAGGTCATTAACTCTGCTCTTTCATACGTATCCCACTGGCATGTTCTCATGAAATGACCTCCTATTTTCCTCTCGCTCTCCTTCCCTGCCTCAAAAAAAGAAACATCCCTGTGACATATGGAAGGGTTCCAACATCAGCCAGTGTGTATATTAAAGTTTTAAATCAATTATTGTTCTAGTGCACACCCTAGGGTTAAGAAAGAAAGAACATCCAGGACTAACAAACCTGATGGTTCTGGCAAAGCTGCCATTCAATTCATGCTGGCATTTCTGGCTTTTTCCTTTTCTTTAATATTCCAGCTTCATTAAAAAAGTTTAATGGCTCAAGTAGCAATTTTTAACATTGCTATTTCATTCAGTTTCTCCAGGAGACTTCTACCTCCCAGTCTCTTGAGGCTTTCCCAGGGGCACGGTGCCCAACATTTGCCAACTTAGTTGTAGAGACAGCTGTTGGTCTGATAGTGAGTTCATTGGACCCAGACTATTCCTCACTGATTACCTTCTGAACAAGGGACAGAGAGACTCAGAGTTGGGCTTGTGGGCACTTCACAACTTGGCCTTCTTAGAGAAAAAAGACAGTCATGATGGTCAAGAAACCAAATTACAACTGGTAATAACATGGTGAATTTTAATCTCTCAACTACTCTGGGTTGGACCTATGTGAGTATTCTGATTAATACTGCTCTAACTAAAATTCCAATAATGTACAATGCATGTGGTTTTTCTCCCTAGGCAAATACTGGAAGTCAGTAAGGATGTCAGCTGTGCCAAGGGGCTGTGCTCCAGCAGGGCCTCAGTTGCAAGAGGAGACAGAGACCGTTTCGGCCCTGGCCTCATTGACCGTGGATGTGGAACAGCCCTTCACTCAAGAAGACAGCAGGTATGGATCCAATGTGGGCAAATCATGCAGGTCAGTAACATCCAGGCCCATCATCAGTGTTTGTGAACCTCGCTGCAGACTTCCCCCCACGTGTCTTCTCCATTTCCACCACCTGTCTTCTCCAGAGCCACAGATGCCACAGCACATGCTGTCGGCTGTCAAGAAGTCATTCATTTGTTTCATTCTTCATGGCAAACACAGAGCTGGAGCATGTGGTTGCAGTTCACAGAGGAGTGGAGGGGATGAGATAGATGTGAGAAAAATCACTTCTCGGTGGATAATTTAGTGCAGATTATCATGGAAAGAGCTGCGTATGGACTTGCCTGCTGCCCTAGTCGTCTCTATCTTTCCAGATGTTTTTTCTTTCTCTCGTCATTTTGAAATTACTGATGCAACACACAGAAAAGGGGAGAGCGGAAGCTGGAAGCATGGCTAGCCAGTTGCACAGCCTAAATGCACACAGGCTCTTTAGATGACTGGCCTTGAGGTACAACGATGAGATGAGGATGGGATTTGCCTTCAAAGGAGAAAGGGTGTAACAGAAAGTGTGGACTTGAGTCTGAATTTACCTTACATTATTATAAGAAGGGGTTGGTTTAAGTCTACTACGACCAAAGCCACCACGAATGTATGTACATTAATATTGGTGCTTTCTTCGGCTGACTTCAAAGTCACATTTCCTCAATTCAAAAATGACTCAGGTGAGGCTTTGCTAAAGCTCTGCCAGCTTGCACTTTAAAATTGCTTCTGAGAATGAAACAGGACTCCCTCCATACATAACATCACCATTAATTACACAGACCCTGCTACCAGTAGATAGATTGGCAGTTTTCCCAAGAATGCACAAACTTGAATAGTTTTAGCTTGCTTGCTTTTACTGAGTATTCAGAGTTTAATGGATTTAACATCTTGTTTGGGTCAGAGCAGGAGATACATTGAATAAGAGATTTCACTTTTATGCAATTATTTTTTTTGCCGTAACCACTTAAATAGCAGATTACCAGAAGGGAAAAAAAGAGTTGTACAGTGTTGTATTAGAAGTCATCATCATACGGGCATCTGGAATATAAGGGAAAACTTATTTTATGTCTTTGATAATATGAACTAACCCCCTGCCGCTCCCAGCTAAGAACTGAACCAAGTTCATAATCCAAAGGTGTTGCAATTATTCCCAAGGCCAAATACAGTTAGTTTCTGTCATTTGAGGGCTATAAAACCGAGGAAGCTAGCATCTGTTAGTGTTGGATATAAAAGGAGAATAGCTATTCTTGAAACTTCATTTAATATAGAGAAACGAAGCTCAATCCCAACCTGGGTGAAATGAATTGTCAGTAATTTTGCCAATTAAATCATGGAGCTTAGAATAATTAAGACTACTAAATCATGTTATAAGCCCTAAGAAATGTAAAAATCTCAGCAGTTTGGCTGGCACTAGCTCTCTAGCATGCTTGTTTAGCCAGGTAACCAGTGTGCTTGACTCCTACTAACCCAGAGGGACTTGACCTGGGCTTCAGTTCACAATGGTTTTTAAACTTCCATCTCGTGACGGAGAGAGCATGGGAATGGGAGTGGTTTGATGTCCAGGGAAACTGAGCTAAAGTTTGTGGCCTCTATTCATATTTGTTTATCTCTTTTAGACAGATTGTATCAATTTTGATTGATTTTTCTTGCAGAAAGGAAAATAGTTTTGCTTGAAATATTTTCTATGGCTTTGAACTCACTTTTTTTCTCCAGGAGAGGGAAAGAAAAATTATTCTAGAACTGGCTTTTGCATTTCTATTGAACCATGCATGAATTTCATCAGAGAGAGAGAGAAAGCTTGAAAGCCACAGAGCCTTTATTCTCTTCAGGGGAATGCTCTCAGAATTGTCCCCCGACTCAATAGAGGAAAGAGGACTTTCAAAATGAGATAAAAAGGTGGAAATGTTCTGGGGCCTTTGTGATGAATGCAATATTATAAGTGCACAGGAAATTGAGAGATTAGAAAAATCAGAGAGCTAAATGGATGGAAAAGGGTGAAGGCAAGATTCTTTTTATAGAATATTCTTGCCAGTTATTTTGGAGGATATATTGGTGTTTGGAGTGAGATGACTCATTTTGTACTAAGATTTTGGGTAAAGCAGCTCTTTTCCTGGCCAACTCATATCTGACTCACTTACCACTAGTGAATAAGGGATAAAATGCTCCTGGCTGAGAACCATTGTAAGTATTTTTTGTTCATTTTTCTTGGATGGGGGTGGGGATGGAGATGACAGCACAGTGCAAACAGTCATTTCATTTTTATAACTCATTAATGGGCCATGGAGAAGAAGTTATTAGAAAACAGTATGTGGGCATTCATTCGGGGGATGATTGAAATACAGTTTTCAAGACCTAATTTTCAGGTGGCAAAGGACTTGAGTGGCAAAAATGACCGGTGGACCAGCAGAAACAAAAACAAAAACAAAATATGAAAAAAACAAAGTGGGGCTACGTTATATGTTCAAAGAATATTAAGTAGCTAGGCTTGGTTTTATATAGAGGATTATTTTTAAAAGAGAACTATGATCTTAAAGGTTTGTTTGCCAGGAGACTGTACCTTTGAAAGATGATAATTTGCATTGGTCATATATATGTTTCAAATGCTTCTTCTACTTTGATGAGACCAATACTGTGTCCAGTTTTATTCTTGGGTACCAGTTCAGGATCTGCGGAAAGTCAAGAAAAAAGTCTATCTGTGAACTAGGACTTCAGGATGATCAATTACTAAGTTCTTGGGAACACAACTGAAAGTTAGGTTTTCAGATGTGAGTTTGACCTATTGCTTATAGTAGGGATCATGTTACATGTATTTTCAATACGACCCAATCTGATTGTTTATTTAATCATTTCATTTTCAAATTCAGGTGAATTTTGTCATGAATGAGATGGTTTCAAGTCATTTTGTAATATAGAAGCATGAGAAAATATGTGATTCTGAGTCTGGCCATTTTGTTTTTTGAGTAATTATTTTGTTCATGAGTATGAACAAAAAGGGTAACAATACACTGGAAAATCCCAAGTATCATCTGCTTCAGCTTTGAATGGCCTATCTGTACTGCCAAGGACATTGATAACCCTGTTTTCCTGTATCCGAAGATTTGTATAGAGATATAGACCACTATTAAGAATACACATTCTGTCCTGGCTGGTGTGGCTCAGCAGGCTGAGCACCAGCCTGCAAACCAAAAGGCTACCAGTTTGATTTCCTGTCAGGGCACATGCCTGGATCACAGGCCACGTCTCTAGATGGGGGCGTGTGAGAGGCGACCAACTGGTTTCTCTCACACATCGATGTTTCTCTCCCTTTCTTTCTCCCTCCCTTCCTCTCTTTCTGAAAGATCTTTTTAAAAGTATAAATTCATGCCTAATATGCTTAGAAAATCAACTTTACTTTTCTTCCTTTAGGAGCGTGTCTACAAGGCTTCTAGAAGCTAAAGTATTGTACAGATTGTGCAGGGTTCTGACTTTTTCTCTCTGATCCCATTATTTTAATCTCTTGTCTATCTAACTAGCCAAACATACCAATATAAATTTTAGTCTTAATTTTCATCCAATGTCAGCAAATCCTTAGTTGAAAGGAGGACTGAGATTTGGAGACTCCTGGTAAAAGGAATGACAGCCTGTCCCATGCCATCTTCTTCCTCCTCTTCCTGGGACCTTTGGTCTCTGTTTTCAGTGCCAAACATGTAGTCTTGTGGCTCGTGTGAAGTCGGACTTTGTATGCAGGGCTTAAATCCAGTGTCCAGTTACGTATTTCAGAGTTCCATTCTGAATTCTTTATTAAGAAGTGTTTAATTTGGAAATAGAAACACAGTTAAGTCAAACCATAACTAAAGCGAAATGCACTGCAATGCGAGCTTCCCGTCGTCTCATCTTGGTCTGCACTCTTCATAATGATCTTCCTACCGTTACAGAGGAAGAGCAGAGTTCAAATGTAGAATCGGCTGGTCTAGATAATAATAATAAGCTCCAACTTAATAATTGAGTTGTCAGGGACAAGGTTACTTATTTCTCGGTGCTTTTTTTCTTTGTCTTTAAAATGAAGGGAAAATATCAGGGTTTTGAGGGTGAAATGACACAAATACACCTTAAGACCTTAACAGAAGCCCTGACACATAGTAAGCACTCAGTAAAGGGTGCATACGTCTTATTCCTCAGGCTATCCTCCTATATTCACCACAGGTTTACCACGAAAACACAACTGTGTCTGTCTCAAGTAAGCACAGAGTGACAAAGCTTGGTTAACAAACGATACATGAAGACAAATCCAAAGACAGAGGCAAAATAGCATAAAAATGGTAACATAACATTTTGTAATACCTGAGCTCTTCTTATCTCTATGTTTTTCAAAGGAACAGGTGTTTTTTATATTTTTATGACTTTGTAAAATGTGTATTTTACATTTATTTTCCTTCACAGTACTAATTGACAATGTTCGTTCTCATCTACGCCGACGAATCAGAATCTAGAGCACTCGTATCATAAACACGGATTGACTGAGGAAGTGTAACAAAGGAAGGAGGGGGAGGTAAAGCATCTGAATGGAAAAAGGCATGTCTTTCTGGGGAGAGGAAAGCGCAGGGGTGATGCTGGCACATTCCAGGATTACCCCTCCCTTGCAGAAAGAGAAGGGAGAACATCCGGTCATGCGTTCTTTAGACACTTCCTGACAATGTTCTGTCTGTGAGACAAACATCAAGAGCCAGGATCACAAAGCTTCCTTGCAGCCCTCGAAACATTCACATACTTGGGGATTATATTAGTTCTCAACTGCTATCTTAAAAAATCACTGCAAACTTAGTGGCTTAAGAAGACAAAAAGGTCAGAAAACCGACACAGGTCTCTTGGGCTATAATCAAAAGGTTGGACAGGCTGGTTCCTTTCTGAAAGCTGCAGGGAAGAATCGGTTTCCTTGCCTTTCCTAGTGTCTAGAGGCTGCCTGCATTCCTTGGCTCAGGCGCGCCTTCCGCTTTCTTTAA